GTATGTCCTGGTTGGAGATTAAATGGTCTGTTTTCTAGTTTATCACTGACAAACATTAGGTCAACAACACGCTCCCTCCAAATTCAATCACTGAGATTATCCCTTTCAGGAAATAGAAAACATGTATTTCCCAACCTCTCAAGTGTCAGCAACATGCCACAAAGTTCTGCAAAAATACGGCCTGGCAGACTAATTTCCCCCTTTCCCTCCAACAGCTTGAACCTAGTACTAGCAGTAGCACAACAGAAAAAAGATCTGAAAGTAAGGCGGAAAAAAACATTTCACTTCTGTATATTCAGGAGGTGAAGTCCATCTAGACATCAAATCTGAATCCATCAAGTATTTTTTAAACACCACACACACACATGCATCCACACCAGACAAAAATCATTACAGAAGTCCCTCATATAGAGCTTCAATTGCCACATTGCAAGGACACTACAGCAACCAAAAAAAAAAAAATTCTAAGAAGTGGAGAGATTCAGGCAACAAAGGAAGTAATATTTAACTCACCTAAACAAGGTTAGTGCCAGAAAGACAAGCTTGGAACGTGTCATGATATCATGTCTCATTTTATTTGGTGCTTTGTTTCCACAAAAGTAAATCAATGAATGCTATCAGCAGAATGTCCACATCTTCAACAACCACAAGGGTCAATCATCTGCCCTATTTGGACGATACTTCTACAGCATATCAGAAAAGGATTAGTTTGTTTGTCTTCACAGTCCAAGGTTATATCCATTGAGAAACCTTATCTGTGAAAGATACTGTTTTAGAAGATGAGTAGAGACTGAAGTGACGGAACAGAGTATTTCCTGTCGTAAAATGCTTTCAGTGTAAGTTAACCTTAAAGCATACCTACTCCAAACTTCACATCTTGTGGAAGATTTGGGATTCTTCCCACAGCTAGTAGAAAGACAAGCTTATCCGTGTTTTAGACTTCATCAACATTCTTACCTACTCTCCGCAAGGTCATTTTCTTTACTAGCTGTAAGCCACAGTCCCTTGCAGGATAAGCCTGCCAAGGAAATTTAACACATCTCCAGGAGCTGGAAAACACATTGCCAGGTTTGGAAGCTAATTAGAACAACTAAGTTTCAAAGAACTATCAAAATGGGTCCACTAATTTAATATTAGCTAGCCAGTCTTTGCCTCATGCCTGGTAGTATGCCAGACAGTGTCTCACTACACACTTTCCAGACAAGTAACCGCAGTGGATTCAGGGTAATAGTAAGTTCTCTCATGTAGACCAAACATGCCTTTATTGATGATCTCTACAAACAAGTGAAACGCAACAAAACCAAATCAGTCTGAAAGATTCTACCTAAGTCATCACAACTGCAGTATAAATGCCACCAGAAGACTCAAAGCTGTACGTGGAATATGGTAAACCTGTGACTGACAGCATATTAGAGAATTTCTGAACAACAACAATAGACATTTCAAAGTAGTTATATTCTTCAATCTTGAAGATGTTCAAAGAGATTAAGCTACTACCAATGAAGAGATTTGCCTACTTTAAATTATTTCTTTATTGAAACACAATACCAGTTAAAGTAACTCCTATAGGTCAAAGTTTATATAACGAAGTGTATAGCCTTATGTCCACAAATAAAGTGGACTTGCTTTTAAAAAACAATTCTTCTCCTTTACTATCCCTTTATAATTAAGTTATAAGTCGATGTTTTTCTGAACTGTTTACTGTTTGAGCTTAGTCTTCAAGTGCATGTTGAAGGAAAAAAAAAATCTCCTTTGGTATAATTAACCTAATTTCTCCAAGTTGCACAGAAGGCATAGATTAGTCCAGAAATTAAGCTATTACAGTAAAGCACACACCACATAAGAACATTTACTATACTCCATCTCCAGTTCACGTGGAAACATGTTTAACACTGGTACCCAGAGAGCTTTCAAACAAGTTTTAGGAAAAAAAACAAGGCAGGTAGATTCAAGATTTGTTGAACAGGATCATAGTTCCAGATCATTTTATCTAAGTTAATTAGAAATCTGCATTAGAAACCTCACTTGTGCTTTTGGTTACTAAAGGATTACAAGATAAAGCCTCACTGTTTATCAAGGTAGTTGCATAAATCATGACTCGAGTTAACCTTGAAAGGAGAACAAACCCTGTCTGAAGAACCTACCTACAACATAATGACCAGAGTAACACCCACAGTTGACTACTACATAAAATGCTGAAGCTACAAGATCACTCAACTCTTATTCATTGCATTAAGAAGATAAGACAAAGGCATCAATTTAGCTTTCATACAAGTATGCCAATACCCAGTTCAGGTTATCACTAGGGAAATCCTTAGCAGCAACAGCAGGATTAATGCTCCAGTTGTTACTGCAATACTGTCTTTTTGCTGGGAGGGGATGTGGGGAGAGGCTTACGGTTCATCAACAAATTTGGGAGGCCAAAAACCAAGTAAAGGGAAGCGGGCAGGAGGGGAAACAAACAACACTCAAGTGGCTCATCAGTTTAGCTTCACAGGTAGGAGACAAATGTAGGTAATTAAAACCCAGATTCACATTCCTCATATTGATCTGACAGGACAAAAATCAACTACCCAAAAACTGTACCTGCAATTACATTCTGCTCAAAACATCAGAAGGACAAGATAAGCCTTCTGAGCTAGTCTTTTACTAGAATTGCCTTGGCATGCATGATTAAGTTTATTAACAAAGCATTTACAATGAGAATACTTAATCAAGAACAAAAAACCCCAACTGTTATTGCTCCCTTGCTTTAAATTGTACATATTATCACGGAGTTAGAAGGCTTGACTCACATTTTACAGCAGACATTACACAATGAATTTGAAATCCTAGGAATCAACACTTCCAGACTCATTCCATACTTTCCCATAACTTTTACAATTAAAAAAAAAACAAACCAACAAACCTCGCTGATCCTCTCAACCGAGGAGTTTCAGGTAGCTGAAACAACATAATGCATTATTTGACAAATACATGCAAATGTTTAGCACTAATTCACTAACTGTACTTCTGCAAGAAAATCCTCAGAAGCCCTTGATCATGTTTCACCAAATCCTGACTTCCATTGCCTTTGTAGTATAGGACACCCTTAGTAAGCATACTCAGAGCTGATGAGCTGATTGTTGAACAGCTGTAAAAAGAGTTAAGATTTTAGAACTCTTCGCTAAAATTACAGTCAAGTCCTCCATGACTGTAACTAAGAATTTAATTCCTTAATGTTTAGGTGAGCCATTTTGAAGTTCTTAACGCAAAACCACAGTCAAACAATATAACATCTTAACATGGTGCAATTTGATGGCTTTCCAATGCAAATCAATAAAGATATTTCCTCTCCCATTATGTTCCTGCAGAAATTCCCAAGAATTCTTCTGAAACCTAAAAATAACTCATTTATCCGACAACTGCTCTATCAAGTTGTCTATGAAGCCTCATCCCCTTCTTTAAAAAACACATACATACAAGTTTACCTTTCTTTTTTCCCAATACACATAGAACAAAACCCTATCAAAAAATTAAAAGCCCATTTTTACAACTTCCTTATCTATAAAAATAGCATAAACACATAGTTAAAGCATGTTCTACTAACAGATTGCCTACCAGTCCTACAAACAGGACAAATAAAAGTAAACCCCAGTAAAACAGGATGCATGGAGCCTCTCTCTCTCTTCTCAGAACAGAGGTATTCACTCCTGTAGCCGATACTGATCATGCAGATACTAAGGACTCCAACTGTAAGTTCTGTTTACACCAATGGATGTGTTATTTGGATCTATCAGTTATGCCTATTGCACAAGAAATTTACAAACATCAAACTGAACAATGACATGGAAAGGCTGGTATGATGTAGTGAATATATAGCTACCAACACCCAATGGCAGCTTAGCAAGATCTACTAAGCAGCTTTTCCAACCACACCAAAGGAAGAAAGTATTAGGCTACATTGATGGAGTCACATATTCTTTGAGAAAGTTTGGAAAAAGCTTAACAAAGGCAAAGAACAACAGTTTTATAAGAAGGACCTCACTATAAACCCTGGGTTGGAGACACTCAGAAGAAAAAAAAGCAAATAGGAATACCTAGTCTATTTAGAGAGACAGTATTTGTTTCAACTGTTTGCAACTCCCAAACTTCAAAAGTGTTGAGGCTAATGAAGTATAGCTGGAGGACTGTATTACTGCAAGGCTCATATCTCAACTAGCAACATGGAGAAGCGCTATGGATGTACGTGAAGTTACCAACCATGTCCAGCATTGAAGGATTACATGAGGGAAGTCTTCCAGCTACAAAGTACAAAAGTAACCAAGTGCAAGTTTTGATGACATTGGATCCTTTTCAGAAGTTTTTGTTTGTTTGCTTTAAGTTATCCAGCAGCTCTGCATTCTGCAGACAAGTAACAGGTATACTGTACTTAACACAGACCCTCCTCAAACATTGAATATTTTGTGACAAAAAAAAAAAATTAACACGCACACAAAACACACACGGACAATTTCTGGCTGGAGAAGCTAACCAAATCCAAAATCACTGCAGTGACACAGCTGTGTCTTCAATGACATCTAGAATATTTTCCAGCACTTGCTTAAACTTTACAAATTGCTATATAACCATTTTAGTTTGTTACATATTCCTTCCAAGCGCTGGAGGCATGGTGCTTGTGAGGAACCGAGTTCCTACAAGAGCTAGAACTCAGAAACAGAGAGAGAGCAAAGGAGCCTTTGCTTTACAGTAGTCAGAAGGAGATTCAGTTTGGTGTCTCAGGAGCTAAGATGTTCTATGGATGGACTGATTCTCCATTTGCAGGGGAAATGTTAGTACAAGTATTTCAGGACATCTATTACTCCAACTTTCAAAGATGACTCTCTTAAGCAGAATAACGTGTTAGAAACCACAGAAGTGCCTGAGAATGGTCACACAGGAATTATGGTTTCTCCCCCCAAAAAGGTAGTGGGGTCAGTAGCCCAACTGAAGTGCATCTACACCAATGCACGCATGGGCAACAAACGGGAGGAGCTGGAAGCCATTGTGCAGCAGGAAACTATGACGTAGCTGCCATCAAAGAAACATGGTGGGATGACTGGCACAACTAGAGTGCCGCAATGGATGGCTATAAACTCTTCAGAAGGAATAGGCAAGGAAGGAGAAGTGGTGGGGTAGCCCTGTATGTTAGGGAATGTTTTGATCATCTAGAGCTCAACAATGGTGACGATGAGAATGTTTGTGAGTAAGAAACCGGGGGAAGGCCAACAAGGCAGATATCATGGTGGGAGTCTGTTAAAGACCACCCAAACAGGATGAAGATGCAGATTAAATACTCTATAAAGAGCTGGGAGAAGTCTCACAATCACTAGGCCTTGTTCTCGTGGGGGACTTCAACTTACCAGATGTCTGCTGGAAATACAATACAGAAGAGAAGAAATGGTCTAGGAGGTTCCTGAAGCACGTGGAAGATAACTTACTGACACAGCATGTGAGTGAGCCAACTAGGGAGGATGCCCCACTGGACCTGTTGTTTGTGAACAGAGAGAGACTGGTGGGTGTTGTGATGGCTGGAGGCTGTCTCGGGCACA